CAAATTTGGGCCACGTGACATTTGCTGACCTCTGTAGGTCAAACGGCTAGGAGTGCCACCAAATGACTTAGACTGTGGATTGGGGATGTCATGGCCTACATTGTGTGCGAGTTTCAGGTTAATCGGTGGTGTCCCGAATCTGGGCTGAATCCGGGCTGCGACGTATTGAGTGTCGTTTATTTGCACATTTTGACCTGCCGAGGTCAAACGGGGTCACACATCGAGAAGCGCTTTTTAAGGAAAGTTACTACGGCCTATGGGCTACCCGATGATGTGCTTTGATTTGGAATTTGGTTAATCTATCTACTCGAAAACTGATGTGCAAGGGTATTTTCGACATAGCCCACAAATGACCTTAGGTCATCGCATGACCTTGAGAGGTCCAATGAGTGGTTGGAAAGTAAGATTAGATGCTGGCAAGTCGATTGGTGCCATTCTTAGCGCTCTAGCTCTACTGGGTGGGCCACAATCTGCTGTGCAAATTTGGGCCACGTGACCTTTGCTGACCTCTGTATGTCAAACGGCTAGGAGTGCCACCAAATGACTTGGACTGTGGATTGGGCATGTCATGGCCTACATTATGTGTGAGTTTCAGCTTGATCGGAGGTGTCCCGAATCTGGGCTGAATCCGGGCTGCGACGTATTGAGTGTCGTTTATTTGCACATTTTGACCTACCGAGGTCAAACGGGGTCACATATCGAAAAGCGGTTTTTAAGGAAAGTTCTACGGCCTATGGGCTACCCGATGATGTGCTTTGATTTGGAATTCGGTCAATCCATCTACTCGGAAACTGCTGTGCAAGTGTATTTTCGACGTAGCCCACAAATGACCTTAGGTCATCGCATGACCTTGAGAGGTCAAATGAGTTTTGGGAAAGTAAGATTAGATGCTGGCAAGTCGATTGGTGCCATTTTTAGCGCTCTAGCTCTACTGGGTGGGCCACAATCTGTTGAGCAAATTGGGGCCACGTGACCTTTGCTGACCTCTGTAGGTCAAACGGCTAGGAGTGCCACCAAATGACTTGGACTGTGGATTGGGCATGTCATGGCCTACATTATGTGCGAGTTTCAGCTTGATCGGAGGTGTCCCGAATCTGGGCTAAATCCGCGCTGCGACGTATTGAGTGTCGTTTATTTGCACATTTTGACCTGCCGAGGTCAAACGGGGTCACATATCGAAAAGCAGTTTTTAAGGAAATTTACTACGGCCTATGGGCTACCCGATGATGTGCTTTGATTTGGAATTTGGTCAATCCATTTACTCGAAAACTGCTGTGCAAGTGTATTTTCGACATAGCCCACAAATGACCTTAGGTCATCGCATGACCTTGAGAGGTCAAATGAGTGTTGGGAAAGTAAGATTAGATGCTGGCGAGTCGATTGGTGCCATTCTTAGCGCTCTAGCTCTACTGGGTGGGCCACAATCTGCTGTGCAAATTTGGGCCACGTGACCTTTGCTGACCTCTGTAGGTCAAACGGCTGGGAGTGCCACCGAATGACTTGGAATGTGGATTAGGCATGTCATGGCCTACATTGTGTGCGAGTTTCAGCTTGATCGGAGGTGTCCCGAATCTGGGCTGAATCCGGGCTGCGACGTATTGAGTGTCGTTTATTTGCACATTTTGACCTGCCGAGGTCAAACGGGGTCACATATCGAAAAGCGGTTTTTAAGGAAAGTTACTACGGCCTATGGGCTACCCGATGATGTGCTTTGATTTGGAATTTCGTCAATCCATCTACTCGAAAACTGCTGTGCAAGTGTATTTTCGACATAGCCCACAAATGACCTTAGGTCATCGCATGACCTTGAGAGGTCAACTGAGTATTGGGAAAGTAAGATTAGATGCTGGCGAGTCGATTGGTGCCATTTTTTGCGCTCTAGCTCTACTGGGTGGGCCACAATCTGCTGTGCAAATTTGGGCCACGTGACCTTTGCTGACCTCTGTAGGTCAAACGGCTGGGAGTGCCACCGAATAACTTGGACTGTGGATTGGGCATGTCATGGCCTACATTGTGTGCGAGTTTCAGCTTGATCGGAGGTGTCCCGAATCTGGGCTGAATCCGGGCTGAATCTGGGCTGAATATGGGCTGTCTTGACGGACATTGTTTTAATCGATGATGCTCTCCGATAACATCACAAAGCATGCATATAAGCAATTAGTGTAACCCTAGCTGATAGCTACTAAGAAACACACTGAACCTTATTTGACCAAATCTGCACCTAATCTGCACCAGATGTGCACCAAATGTGTACCAGATGGCCGTCGTGAAAACGGCTAATATCGATTGGGCTCAAAACACGGCAAACGTTTGTTTTCAACCGTGTCCAAGGTGAATATATTTTTTACTGTTTCAAATCAAAGACACACTCTTGAGACCTCGGTCTCACCCCATGAAGTCAAGGATCGAGTAAAATGATGAATGGTATCCATCGCAGTACGCTACTACATTACACCTCGTCCAGATATGACATCTTTGTGGTGACTAGTTACACATGTATCTTTCGGATAGAAAATAACTAATTCACCAAAATTTGCATACCATTGTTATAGTTTCTTGGTCAAGATGCACAATGCACATGCACATCGCAAAAGACCTCAAAGCTGAAATATCGTTGTCGGGTTGCAAGACCCGCCAGAACAGCATATCCATGTAGAGAAATTTCACATAAGACATATTTCATTCCTTATTTAACATGCCTGACCGATACATCAAAATAGGCGGCTTCTATTTTACCAATAAGGTTTAAGTGTGGCTAGGGAGGGGCAGTCGTGCAGGGCCTGGTCGTCAGGCGCGTGAGCTTGTCTGTGTACGGGAACGGGTCCGCGGCTAACGACGAGAGGCTATTGAAAACGTGACATTGGCCACCAGAGTAGTGGCCGGTCTCCGCAGGTACGATCACGTGTCTCGCGCGCGGGGCGACCCGGGCCCTGTTTCACCGCCCGACGCTGCGCGCGCTGCAGCGCGCTGGGAGCTGAGGCATACCTCTGACGTCACTCGAATGACGTTGCGTGCGATCCGTTAGCTTATGGTAAATCGCGTTTCGAACAGAGACCTTGAAGAAACTAGTACCAATTGAACAGAAGTTTGAGTGCGAATACTGCAAGCGTGCAGATGGTGCTGGCGCCGCGGTGCTAGCGTTTTACGATGACGTCATAGCGTAGCGTCAGAGGGAAGTTTGTTGATATTGCCATGGAAACCCAACGCGCCGATGCGCGCAGCGCACTGCAGCGCTCCGCCGTGAAACAGGGCCCCGGGCCTGCACACACCGCGCCAGATGTGTGACGCGCAGACTGCGATTGTGGCACACAGGGTGCATACCCTGGGTGAGCCCGAGAAGCTCACCTCGCTGTTTTTATCATTCGCAGATGCACGGCAATGTAAACGCTCCACCAGACAGGACCATGACTTGCGTCCGCCAGCCACCAGAACAGCGGCTGCCGGCTGGGCAGCGAGGATTAGCCGACCTCGCTTTTAAACTCCATGCCTAATCACGTGACACGGCTCGAGCCAGCAGCTTACAGGCAGCGACACGTTTCTTTTATTCGGGGTGAGTGTGCGTGTGTTGGTGTTAGTGTATGCTGTTGCTGCGGTGGATGATTGTTGTTTGCCGTATACCATGTTTTGAACCTCCTACCCGTTTTATTCTCTGACAATTGAGACGTAAAAGCCACCCTGTTGTGGAGTGTCTGCTGACGTAAATACATACATACATACATACATACATAGGGGAAGTTGGGGTAAGACGGACCAGCTAAGGTTTGAGGGTAAATATCTTTCTACACTGTTCTCGTAACTCAAATGGTTTATAGTCTTCTGAATGCTTAATCTTTCCTCTTTTGATATGTGGAGGAACTAAATTTTGAATTCAAGAAATCTAGGTGGTGGTTGCTCCTAACCCGCGCCCCAGTGCAGTGGCGGTCTCAGCCAACTTTGCCATAGTGTGTGTGTGTGTGTGGGGGGGGGGCATATGTTATTACCCACCTCTAACTCAAAAACTAAGAGGGCTAGAAAGGTGCGGTAAAAAAACAGTCGATAGCTCTCAATGCGTACGTTTGAAAGTATTTCGGTCATTTTTCATCTTGAGAAATATTGGGGTCACCAGAGGCAATCAAAGGTAAACATTTGCCAATTGTCATTATGTTTTTTTCAGAAAACATGCCGTTATCTCAGGAACTATGATAGCTAGAAAAAGGCATGGAAAAGCAATCAATAGCTTTTGAACTCTTCTTTTGATATGGTCATCATCAAAATTGACTTCAGGTCAACGGTTTAGCCTCAAGAGGGCAAAAACTCCAAAATACCTAGCTGTTTTTACGGAAGTGTTTTTCGACAATAACTTTCGATTAAAAAAAGCCACGACATTTCAATTGACAGAATCGTGTTCCTCTCGCCGAGACGCGTCGAATGAACTATAATTTGCCCTTGAAAGATCAGCTTGAAAATTTGACCTCAGGTCAAGGTCATGACCTGAGCGGAAAAGGTCATGTTGCATATCAGTCGATGCATCTTAACAAGGCAAACACAATGAGGCTATCCCCAGCATTCTATCTCTTTCCAATCGAGAGTTATTGGCAAAAATCTGTTTTTAGCCTCAAATGACCTGGGATGACCTTTCTAGAAGCTACCAGCAAAAAAGACACCCTGGTCGTCACGGGTGGTCCAAATCATTGTGATTCTGAAATATTTGGACTGTTCCTTTGCGTACACACCGATCTAGAGGCATTTTCATTTTTCTCCATTGACTTATAATGGAAAGGTCACGCCGCTGGCCTAACCTTAGGTCACGGATATAGAAAAATCCAAGATAAACAAATTATAGGCGCCCATAACATCATGCAATCAACCAAGTTTAAAACCTCTCTGACAAACACCGCAGACTGGACATGATTGTAAACTTTTTCAGGCTTGGTCAGTTAAATTGACCTGGTTACCTGACCTGACATGACCTGGGGTCAAAAATATCACACATTGTCCAAAATTAAAGTACAGAAAATTACTCCAAGCGGCGCGGCGCGTAGCTCCGCGGTTTTTTATTCACACGCAAAAAACGCGACAGGGTGGTAACATGTTGCGTAACATATATGTAACATTCAACCTTCGCCTCCCCCCCCCCCACTGGGGCGAAGGTTAAAAGGAGACATGTGAAAATCACCGACAAGAAAAAAGCGGGGTAAGAAGCATCACCCAGCAGCGCCTACTACCCATTCATGTTTGAGTCAGAACTTGAACTTTATTCAAGAGACACGCCGCAATATTACATATGCATTACATACTGCCCAGCGCGTAGGGTAGCATGGATATTATCCGGGCGGTACATATACTGCCCAGGCTGGTGGGTAGTTTGCATACTGCCCGGGCAGTTTGCATATTGCCCAAGTTAGCATATTGCCCGTAACATATACAACACGGCAGAGTACCTATTGGTAGGCATAACTAAGATTTTGGATTAGATAATGAATTACAGCGCAGAAAAATTGTCCTCGTACTGCCTCTCCAGACGGGTTTTCACGCGGTCGTACTGGGGCGCAGCTGCGCGAGCCTCGACTGGTCTTGACGCTCCGTCGGCAGCTGGGTCGTACGTGGGTCGTACGCTCGGTGTTTTCTAAGGCTGCTACTTCGCTATTTACGTCACCCAGAGCTTCCGCATGTGAACTTTACAAATATTTGGAGACCTCTTTGAGAAGTTGTCCAATGGGACCACGCTTTTTCTTGTTCTTTTCTTTCTCTATGAAATTACCAATCAGAAGTGATGTCTCTTCGCTAATACGTTTTTCGAGAAACGCCCGAGTCTCATCAGCTCTGTAGGACCCCATCGTCGTTTTTTCCCGGTCGAACCTCCTCAGCACTTCTTCCTGCTTCGTAGCGCACACCTGATGTGGGTTGCCGGATTTACCCAGCTGTTCTATCTTTTCCTTCATAGATGATGAAAATGAACTGAAACATGCGTCAGCAAGGGCTTCGTTTGTTTTCTCTGCTTCTTTTTTGTTTTTCACACACTTTTTGCGGAACTTTTCCTGCGATTGTTCAAACCATTCGTCCATTTGCTTATGAAGCATAACCCAGTAGTCATTTTCAGAATTGTTTAAGTGTTCCACACTCAGTAGTTTCTTCATTCCTTCCAGCAGCACAGCCTTAGCCTTTGAGTGCTCTTCTTTGATAAGGTCTTCGTCAACCAGCGAACAATCACCTAGGAAGGCCTCCATCTTCTGCTGGTATTGCTGGAACTGATGCTCGACAACCTTTTTGTTTGACTTTGCCTCTACTCGGCTGAGAATATGATGAATATTTTCCTTAATGTTTTTCTGCAACTGCTGACGACTGTCTTCAGCATTGTGCAATCCAAATGTAACCTTTTCATGTTCAAAACGCTGCATGGCCGTCTGGCTTGCCTCTCCTATGGCTTCTTCTACTTCCAGTTTGGTCGTGGTCTGGGAATTTTCCAGAGATGCCATTTCACGTTGAAATAACTGCAAGCATTGGCCCACAAGTGCACGATTCGCTTCGTCCGCTTTCGCTCTGTCCTGTGCACACTTTTCGTCAAAGAGGTCCTGCGAAGTTTGAAGCCATGCGTCCATCCTGCTCTGCAGCAGGTCAGAGTACCGACTGCCACATTCAGTGACGTGAAGCATGCTGATCAGCGGGTTCAATGTCCGCAGTGTCTCTGCTTTCGCCTTGTTGTGACTCCCCAACACTAGATCATTGTCCAGATAATCTGGACCCTCAACAAGATCTTTCATACGCGCCGTGTAACTTTGAAAATGATTTTCCACTACCTTCATGTTCGACAAGTTCTCGTCTGTTGCCAGCATTTGGTCGAGCCTTTCCTTCAAAGTCACTTCCAACTTGTGTTTACAATCTGTTGGTACGTATGATCCCAACGTAACCATGCCTTGTGTGAAGCGATCTACAGCAGCCTTTCCTGCTTCGTGGTAGGCTTCTCTGATCTTCTCTTCCCCAACAGGCTCGTCACTCTCCAAGTCACGCATCGATGCGTCGAATGTCTCGATACACTCATTCACCAGGTTTTCATTCATTTTTATTGCCTTTTCCTTATCGTTTGCACATCTTTCTGTGAACATTTTTTCTGACGTTTTCAACCATTCTTCTATCTTTTCCTCAAGCCGAGAACAGTAGAAGCCTCCGTCTTTTGTCGGATCTGGGATGGTGTCCCTGTTTTTGAGACATTCAACTGCTGCAGACTTTTCCTCGCTGTGCTTCTTCCTGAGGACTTCTTCGGTCAGCAGCGGAGCATCTTCCGCCAGTAGTTCGTTCATATTTCTCACATAGTTGTTGAGCTCAGCATCGACAGCTGCTGTGTTATAGGCCTCAGCGACTGTCTCCAGGATTCCCTTTGGTTCCGGAAGCTTGCCGCTTTGGAAGAGGTCCGCGTACATCCTGATCAGTGTAGACAGCTCTCCGCACGTCACTGGGCGGTTGCCGTTCATCTTCAACGGGATCTTGTCTGGAGAGAGCAGCAAGGTCAGCAGCTCGTCCAGATGAGTCGCAAACTCCTCGTCAATATCGTCGTCAGAAAAGGCCGAGCTACGGGCCACTGCCTTTCCCGGATGGGGCATTAGAAACCCTTCGATGTTTGCGAAACATCCTTCAATGTGCTGTCGTCTTTGGTCGAGGTCCACCTTGTCACTTCTCAGTCGTCTTTTGACCAGAGCATCGCCTCCCTGTTTCCCGAACGGATGAGTAGCTGGGTGATCCCAATCGCGAATCAGGAAGAGCAGGTTCTGGAAGGCTGTTCTGTCAGATCGATCTCTGGCCATGCGGCCGATCTCGGCGAAAAGCTGAAGGTGGTCTAGGTCATCGCTTTTTAAGTTATTTGGAAGGTTGAACACTGCCTTGGAGCTGAGAAGTGTGCTCAGTGCGAAGATGTTGGTGGCATCAGCCATGTTCGAATCGTCGTCGAACAGCCCCTGCGTGTCCAAAAGAAAAAGGACAGCCTCTTCTCCGGAATCCAAAGTGATTGTGTTCGGAGGCGAGATGAACATGCCGTTGGTATGAGAGTCCGCTCCATTGCTCCATGTGAAGCTCCCTTTTTTGACATCACGCCATTGCTTTTTGTCTTCAGCTGCCAAATAACGGGACATCGCGCTCAACAGGAACGACTTGCCAGTTCGGAATGCTCCGGCCACCGAAATCACCGCCACAGGCTTGTCAGAAACGTCATCACTTTCTAGGAAGGCCTGCAGGACTTCCTCCTTCAGCTGCAGCTTTCTCTCCGGCCCGGTGTCGTCCACGCACAGGAACTGTCTTGATGTCGTCTGAAATAGGAGAATGCGGAGCGTTATGCTTCGCAAGTCTGGCTCTGATGTTTTCAAAGCCAAAGTTTGACTTTCCCAAGGATGAATTAGCATTCAGGGAAATATGTCACTTTCCCCATTTTTTTTGCTCCAGCTTTATAACTTTGTAAACTTAAAATTATTGGAAAGGAAAATAATTATTAAATTAAAGAAAATATTCATAAAGAGAATCATTATAAAGTAGCAACTGTATTAGTTATTACAGCTATGGTAGACGCTAAATAGCCGTGGCTGGAAGCTTATCACGTATTGACCAATCATGTTGCGTAATTTAATAACTTCATGCTGATTGGCCGAACCTAGCCTCTGCGACAGGAAGCTTCTTGGCCTACAAGGCACCACGCTTCTCGACAAGGACCTGTTTTCGGAACGTGGGAAAGGGAGTATCTGATTTGGGTGATCGTTAGGTCTAAAAAGCTCCTGCTTTTGCTAGCCTCAGCTTAACCCTCGCCCTGGCAAGGCACTTTTCATAACACGGCCTGGCAGCGGGGGGAGGGGGGGGAGGGCGATGCGACCCCCTCGCGATTGGCTACTTTGGCACCTAGAAACACCAAATTTGGTAGGTAGGTGGGCCCCTTAGAGTTCTCACCCCTGTGCAAATTTGGTTGCTCTCGGTCAATATTTAAGGTTTTTTTTTTGGGGTATGAATGTAAAAATTTCGCTAAAAACAGATCACAAGTTTTTTTGCTTATAACTTTTCACCTAATTAAGCTAGAGCAAAAAAAAAGCACCAGTGAGCTCAGCACGTCAGGGCGCGTCGAATGATATACTTTTGTACTGGCTTAAGTGTACTTAAAAAGTTAAGCACATCTTAAGCACAACCTCAGTCTTAAGAATGGTCTAAATGCTTAATGCTGCATATAATTCGACTCGTTCTTCAAGAGGAACAGAATGTTACCATTTTGAAAGCTGTATCTTTATTATGTCACAAGTTATTGGCAGTTGGCACAAACGTCATTTGACCTCAGTTTCCTCATTTGACCTGATCCATGGATAAGTAGGCCAAAAAAAGAAGCACAAAGTGACATAATGTTAAGTGCTAAGGTTTCAAAGCGCAAAAATGATAGAACGAAGCGGATATCTCCAGTATTTTCGGAATTGCATATTTTCCCATAGGCCTAACATTACGACGTACCTAATGACTTCTAACTGACCTCAGGTCAGTGTCATCGAAAAATCGAACTATATGTTATATGAACTATATCCCGCGCCCCAGTGGCGGTCTCAGCCAACTTCGCCCTAGTGGGGGGGGGGGGGGGCATATGTTACCACCCACCTCTAACTCAAAAACTAAGAGGGCTAGAAAGACGCGGTAAAAGCAATCGATAGCTCTCAATGCGTACGTTTGAAAGTATTTCGGTCATTTTTCATCTTAGAGCAATATTGGGGCCACTGGAGGTCATCAAAGGTCAAAATTTGCCAAACGTCATTATATTTTTCAGAAAACATGCATTTATCTCAGGAACTATGATAGCTAGAAAAATGTATGGAAAAGCAATCGATAGTTCTTAAACTCTTCTTTCGATAAGGTCATCATCAAAATTGACCTCAGGTTAACGGTTTAGCCTCCAGAGCACGGGCGTAGGAACGTCATGAAAAGTGGGTGGGCCACCCTGTCAAGGGGCCTCCTTTTCCAGGGCGCCTCCTATTTTCAGGGGCCTCCAACTTTTGCCTCGTCCTGCTAGCTGCTTTCAAGTATGACCTCCAAATCTAGCTTCTGAGATCGGGCAGATGTACCCAGGGGCGTAACCGCTTAAGCGAACAGTGCGAAAAGTCCGCACCATTTTTAAAACTTATTCCCCCTCCGATTTTTTTTAGAATCTATTTGCCGCAAACGGCGCATGACCCCTGAAAGCCCTTACACAAATGTCTCCCTCGTTTCCCAGGTGCCCCCATTAGCTTCATAGGCGCCCTCTTTGGCATATAAGCGCCCTATGTATAGTCATCAGAGACATCCCTATATGTCCCACAGTCGCCCCATTGTCGCATACAATGTGCGCTTATCATAGGCGTCTCTCTTTTATGGACACTTGAAGGCGCCTCTCTTTGCCATGCCGGCGCCCCTGTTTCTTATGAATGCACCCCCATTGCATTGATCAATGCAGACCTCTATTGCATGTGGACGCCACGCCAATATATGTAGGCCTCAGAGGCACCCCTCTTTCGCATTGAGGCGCCCCTATGGGCTTCATAGGCGCCCCTCTATTGCACGTAGGTGCCCTACTGTCTCAGAACCGCTCCCCTTTGGCATGCAGACGCCCATCTTGCGTACGGAGGAGCCGCTGTGGTTCTTAGAGACGGCATGCTGCTCCCAGACGCAGATGGGGCTCTCGGAGTCGACAGTTTGGGACCTTCAGTCGCTGATGGGTGCCCGCCAGATGTGGACCCTCGGAGACGCCGGTATGGGGCCCTCAGAGATGCCGGTATGTGGCCCTTAGAGACACCGGTGTGGAACCCTCAGATACTTCAGTGTGAAGCCCTTACAATTGCTGGTGTGGAGCTATGAATGCTCTGGCTTAAATCCATCAGAGGCCGGTACATGGACATTAGAGCTCAGTGAGAGCTTGTGTGGTGGGGCATTCCACGATAGATCGTACCACTTTTTTCCAATTTGACACCCTCATCTCTCGGAATTTGAAGAGAATTGGTCTCAGGGGTAATCAGGGGCTCTGAATCCACCTGTAATAATTTCAGGCTTATCAGATAAGTATTTTTTGAGTTATGGTATATAACATTTTTTGGATCTTGCTTTGCAGCGCTAAGTTTGGCGGGCTGTAACTCTAAGACGGATTATTCAAATGCCAAATGTTATATAACATTGAACTTGCAATGAAACAGAGATTAATATGTATTTTTGAAATTTCGAAAAATACGCTATTTTTGATATATGACATATCGAGTTTTCTTTTATTTGTATTTTTTGGACTTTGGGACCAAATTTCTTTGAATTTTTATTTCTTTAAAAAAATATTTGGCTCATTGTTTAGAAGTATGCAGAAAATTTGGAAGGTGTTCTTTCTATAAATGTATTTATTTTACGTCACGATAACGGTTTCGAATAGTGATTTCGGGAGGGAAGCTTACAAATGGCGTGGTAAAGCTGCCTAATGACATCACGGGTTACTGAAGTTTCAATTTAAGTCTGAGTCATCTGAAAAAAGTGAAAAGAAGGTTCATCCAACCCTCTTTCCTATTAGCGCGAGGGTGAAAAAGGCTGTTTGGTTCCGACATTGTTTTGGACGCCAATGACCATAGCTGTCCGAGATGAAAGTTACAGGACGCATACATGGTGTCCTCCAGAGGTCTCACAACTTGTATATCTGGGAATTTTTCAAGGTTACGTGAGGTCAGGTCGGTCACGTGACATCACTGTTATGAATCAATGGAGGAGAAATATAAAAACTGTTATTTTGGCACCGAGAATGATCTAAAACTATCCCCACGTACATGGTATCGTGATTTCATGCACTTCTTGCGAAGTCCAATGCTTTACTTTTGCATTGTTAACCTTGCGTGACGTCATTTATGACGTCACTAGGGTCGTACGAGTTTTTCGTCAATAACTCCCGATCAAATGGAGCTAGAGAGTCGGGAAAGCCACCAATGGACTCGGGAAGACCTTCCAAATCGAATGATATGCCATATGATCAGGGTTGTATACGACTCAATCAATAGCAATCAATTCAATCACGACAAATTTGGGAAACCAATCAAATCAATCAAGTCAGAGCAGTTTTCGGGAATTGATTCAATCGACTCAAACGCGACAATGAAAGGAATCAATCAACTCAATCAAACGACTCAAACCAAGACATACATTAGGTTTTTTTGTCCCACCAACTTGGAAAAGTGTCCATAGCAGTCTGGTGTACGTACGTACCTACCTACCTACCTACAGAAGAAGTTCATAAAAATATTGTCATTTAAAATTATAAATTGCCATGCCATTCAAAGACTCTATGTAATAAGGAAGGATACCTAGTGATGGACAGGTGGATCATGATATTGAGGTTCAATGGGTAGAATTGGAGCAGAAGTTTCATTTAATGGGTGCAAAATAACCCAGTAGTTGACTCGCCCCTTAACCCAAATCACCACCTTTCACCTAAAAGTTGTCAATTTAATTTTGGCCATATTCCAGCTAAGTCATCAGGCCATCTACCCCATGTAAAGCCCCTGTCTGTCTCTTATGTGAGTTATGCGGAGCTCTTCTGAAATGAACCCTAAACATAATGAACCTAGCTAGGTTTCATGCCACACTGACACAATATGAAAGTGTTGAAAATGTGCTACAAATTTTGACAACTTTATTAGGTATGCTTTATGAAGACAGCAGGAAAGCAGGTAGGTACCTACTTACCTGCCTAGATGTGTCACTGGCTACCAACAGTACCAACGAAGGTAGATAGGTTATATGTGAAGAATTCAAAACATTTTATTGCAATACCTACAATTTGAAACTGTTAGGACTGGGGGATAGGGATGAGGATTAAAAATATATTCAAAAGGAAATGGAGAGGACAGGGACTCTGGAACCACAGGATAAGTTAAGGACAAAGGAAGTAGGAACAAGGAAAATTAAAACGCGAAAACGGCACGGTGCGACTGCGAAAAAAAAACAAAGAAAACGTTTTGCCAACAAGTATGCTAAGCTTTTATAAATGCTTATTCTACGTCTTTGATTTTTTGGTAAGATGACGTCATTGATAATCATGTAGTATGGTAGATTATCATAAAATAAATCGGTTGTACAACACCAATTTCGTTTTAATTATTATTTCATTTGAAATAAAGCCACTTCATAATATTCGGTAAAATATTTTAAGGAAAATGAAATATATTAAATATGTTATGCTTAGGCCCTCAGGAGAAAAGGATCAACAAACGTTCTGCTGCAAATTAAACAATGCAGCAAATTTAGCGAGACGAAAACGGCGCTTTTGTTTCAGTTATTTTTGTAG